ACCTTTTCTTTTAGACACGGTTGGCTACAATTTTTTTATATAAATAATATATAATAAGTACATTATATAAATTTATTTATTTTATATGGCAACAAATGACACACGTTACTGCTCTCTATAGCCTTTGGCAACAACCAATGCGCTAAAGGTGTAGAATCATTACCCAATCCATGGATCAAACCAGGCGAGCATCCATAGACCACATGACTCTTTCCTTCCATAGGAGAAGACTCTCCATATATTGGTTTTGAACTTTTCATCTTACGAGTGGATGGTACATGGTCGACATGTCTTGTCTTGGTGGCCTTGAATGGGATCTCATACTCTTTTTCCTTGGCCACCTTACTTGACGTGTCAAGATCACGATGAGTTTTTCTTTGTCTTGGCTGCCTCTAAGTTAACATATGTGTACTCTTATCACGTTGAAGACTTGGGTGCCTAGACTTGACAAGTCGATGGCCACGTATATGGTATGCTTGACTTTGTGTTTCAATATCTAAACCTTGTTGGCTTGCATACTTAGCAAACAACCATCCTTGGTTGTTTAAGCCACCATGTTTAGTTGGTGACTTCTTATACATGCCTCCTTGTCCTCCCTTTGTGGTTTGCGACAAATACTCACTACTCATAGACATGGACTTCCCCCCCCCCCCCCCCCCCCCCCCCCCCCCGTCCGCTCTTGGCCATGCTCCTATACTTACGTAAGCCATGGGTGGCTTGGATGTGTTGTGTCTTATTGAACATGCCTCCTACTCCATTCTTCATGGTGAGTGCCATGCTCCCTTGTCTAGAATTACCCAAACTAGCATGCTTAGCATAATCATGTGTGTATTTGACTTCATATGGCTTCTTGGACATGCCTTGTCCATACTTAGCCAAAATTTCAAATCTACAATAACTTTTTATGGCTTTCTCACATCGTGACTTGTTAGATATGCCCCCATGTCCACTACAAGTGGTTGGAGGCATGCCCCCCATTCCACACTTAGCCAAATTAGTATGCTTAGCACAAGCATGTGTTGTTTGTGATTGATGTGGCCTCTTAGACACCACATGACCCCCAGATGGTCATCTCGGCTTCAGCTTGTGGAAAATTAGACTTTCATGCCGCCCTTGCTGAGCTCTAGATGTTTTGAGTCCATCAGAATTTCCTTCGTGCCTACTCAATAGGGGTGGCATTGGGGGTGGGCAAGCATGTGGTGGTACTTGGTCCACGTTGAATGGGTGCAGGTTAAGCAGCTTATGTCCCATCTATTCCCAATGGTTTACCATGGCCAGGGAGGCCTTCCGGAGCTGCCGTGACCTTCCCCAGCCTTTGCGAGTCTGCGTATGTGCATTTTTCCTTCCGACGACTAGTCCACGTCGTGTTTATTTCTCCTTTACTTGTTGACTGGCAGCTGGCATGAAGTTGTAGCTCTTATCCACAGGCCTTGTGACAGCTGCGCCGCGGGGGGGGGGGGGGGGGGGGGGGGGGGGGGGGAGGGGGTAATTATCACTTGGGATTTTTGTGACACCCTTGGAGTGGATAACTTAGTGGTATCCTCATCCAAAGACGGGTTTGTAGCGGTGTGTATTCATTTTGCTTTTGTAGGTGAAGCAAGTGGCGGAGTGTATTCTTTGTCGCGTCAAGTATTGGGACTTTTTCTTACGCAGCTGTTGAGGCGGGATTGTGGGCACGTGACTGTTGAGACTGATCTCAGCTCGATGCTAGATCATTTGGTCATTTGTGTCATTTTGATTTATTTTTTCTATGTGTTTGTTCATTTTGCAGGTTTAGCTGCTTATAGGCCTGCCCATATTGTGGCATAAAAGCCATTTGATTGGTAAGTCGACTATTTGTTGACTACCTGGTTTATTTAGTTTTTGTATACGTATGACTTTTGATGTCGACCTTAATGGATGACACAAGCCCCATTAGGCCATTACTATCACTTTTATGCAATATGTTAACTTATATGAAATAACACATATAACTACTTTTGATACTTAGATCCCGTTTAATACAAATTTTTTATTGTTGTGATGGTAGAATTGTTGGAAATCAGATCTCGATTTTTTGGTTAATCCAAAAATTGGAATGTATAAATTGGTCCGACTGCAACTGAAAATCGGTGAAGAATAATCCAATTTGGTTTACAGTTATGCAAATGTGTATAAAAATTGGCCCGATCCAATCCAATTATAAACCGAAATCTGGATGGCACAAACAACCACATGCCTAGCCTCCATCTCTAGCCCTCTCCAGTCTCCTCACCCTCTCAAAATCGTCGCCTCATAAACCTAACCATCCTCTAACGTCAACCACCACTCCGCCACTAAAACATCGTCATCCTCTCGCCACTCCAATCAACCTCCCTCATCGCCTTCCACTTCTCTTCATGCATCTATGTATATGTTCTTCATTATCGATCTTGATCAACTAGCTTTCTTTCTAGGGAGTCGTCCGCCAAATTCTCATCATGTCGCCTGATTATGAGCTCACGTGCGGCGCCATCAACTTCGTCACGATGACACAAGCAGAATAGGCCCAGCAGATCAGGATGAGTTTGGGTGCAAGATGTGGCCGTGACGACTTCATGATTTGCCTTTTCCGGCGGTTAGTTCATATTAAGCCAAATCACTCTTAATGATACGTATGATTAATTACCAGCGGCGGATCCAGAACACAGAAGAGCACTGGGCCGCATTTCATTAGAAAATTATAACCGTAAAAAAATATAATGATTATAGTTTTTTGCAATGTAAATTGTACACAACTGTATTTTAATTTAGGGAATGCATCAATAATGAAGTCTACATCCATACCAATAATATACACTGTTTCAAATAAAATACTTGAGCAATCGGCGAGAAATTCATCGCTCATTTTGTTGAGCAAATCAGTTCTCACATGTTTCATTGTTAAAAAGGTTCTCTTCGTAGTAGCCGTTGAAACGAGCATCATCAACCCTAGATAAATCAATCGACTAATCAATTTACATTGTGTCCATCTCTGCACACCAGCTGCTTTAGTAAATTTGTAAGGGAACAAACCACATATTTCTTTTAGTCTTTTACGTTTTTAACTTTTTAGAATTTTAGGTTCCATTGTTTTTTTAAGACGCATAATCTTTGGGGCTATTTTCTAGGCTAAATTTAGAATAGTGATTTGAATATGTTCAACTTGATAATTTTTCTAGTTAAACTCAATCTTATCATAGAATAACACTGGATTGAATGTCTAAAATCAAAAATTTCATAAGGACTATAATAACTTACGGATCCAGAGGAGGGCTGGGCCGGGGCCTGGGGTGGCCACCCCCGGATCTGCCAGTATTAATTACTCTATAAGATAAATGAATTAAATAAGTAAAATAATCTACAAATTTGATTTTTGGAAACGGTATTCTTTTAAACTCACCCAATGATCCAATCATGTTGGATTACCTTTTCTGGTTAATCGAAGTAAAACTTTCAAAGATGGGTGTAGTTTGCACTAAAATATCATTATTTTATGGTAGTTCCAGAAATTAAAAATAAGTTAAAAATTCAACATCACTTCTAGACATTTAATACACAATATTCAAACCAATGATATTTGAGTTGCCATTTTAATAAGAAATCAACGTCGGATCCCAGCTATTAGCCAACAACGTCATGGCATGCTTAGTTATCTATTGCGGAAGGCCACGACTTTTGAAGAGCAAATGATTAAAAACCTTGAAACTACCTTTCTAGAATCGGTGGACTGAAATGATTCTTCTTCTTCTTTCATATATGACTCGATTTTATTTATTTTCTCTTATATGATAAATTGAGTACAATAGGAGAACAATACTTTCTTATTGTTTCTTTTTTTTTCAATGAATATTTGTTTCTATTTTATGAACAATGAATGATTAGCGTTCCTTCTCTGGAAACCCATCTATCTTCGTTATAACCAAACTTCATATCTCGAACCAAGCTCGAAGAGACTGCTTGAGACCATATATTACATTTTTCACCTGAAAAATACTTTCCCTTCTTAACCATGAGCTCGAAAACCTCCTCCATTTATAAAATAGATGAAAAATTAAATTAATTATTGAACTAAGTTAAATATAATCATAATATGTAAATTGAAATATCAAACACCAAAGAAATACTTACGGGAGAGTTACTGAGCTAGATAACCATAGTGGAATAGTAATATAAATTTCAAAATTTAGTTTATGTATGTTTTTAATTTTGAAAGATATAACAAATTTGTATAGTTTTTGCAATTAGTAATGATTCGTATATTTTTTCGAAGAGACAATGATTCAAATCATCCGGTTGATGTATTTTTTTCTATGAATAAGAAATAAATAAATAGTTGTGAAGAAAAATCTAGTCTTTCTAATTTCACACTTGTAATAAGAAATTTGAAATACTGAAAAAATGCTCTCAACTTTACTATACTATATTTGATGATTTTGTCACCATCTTTTCAAATACCTAAATTTAACTTTCAAATTTATTTTCTCCAACTCTACAACCTCACAAATTTAGTTTCCCAAAAAATTTAATTTCTTTCACGTAACCCATACATATAATAAGCATAATAATATATTTTGTTGACTTTCATTTTTATTGTTAGTCAACATTTCTAAGCAATGAAAATTTTCATATTCCCTGACCTTTCTTTTTTCCCTAAAATTATGAGTATAAAATAATATTTTTCAATAGATCACTAGTATTTGGAGTTTTGGACAAAAAACTTATAGATATTTTACTAAATAAATAAAAATAATAGGATGACCAGTATTTAGTGGACCCAAATCCAAAACAAATGGCAACACAATCAAATAGAAAGGAAAAATAACAACAGAAAAAGGCAAATTCGTTATATGAGCGGCAGCCGGCAGAGGCAAGGCAAGACGAAAATACAAGAAACTTAAAAAGAGAAGGAGCGACAAGCCCTAGAGTAGTCAGCTGAGAGGAAGCGCAAAGAAAGGGGGAAGACAAAGACGAGAAAAGAAGAAGCAGTAGCAGTAGAGAGAATGGGGTGGATGGGGGATACCGTTGATTCCATCAAGTCCATCCAGATCCGCCAGCTCCTTTCGCAGGGCGTTAGTCTTGGTAAGTCTTGCCAACCTCGTCTTCAATTTACCTCTATGATCGCTCCCCCCGCTGTTCGTGATTTTGACTGCCCAATTGTATGCCGGGGAATGGAAGAGAGTTGTTTCAGTTGCTGGAATTCTGGAGTCTATTTTTAATTGAATTTTGGGTTTGTAAGCCTTGATGTGCCAAATATTGTTTCGCTGTGTTGTGGTTTCGGAAAATGCAAGGTTGGGTTTCTCGTCTGGACGAGAATTTACCAAACAATGGCTGTAAGATTTGAAATTTATGTTTTGTTGAATTGGGTTTCTTCCCCTTCTTTTCTCTCTGTATGTTGGACGATCCTTGACAGTTTTACTTAAATGCATACGTGACCAAGAGTACTGAAGACTGTGGTTTAGCTTTTACAACAGTGAGAGGAAGTGTTAGATCTGGTTTTAGAACTCTGTGTCATTCTGTAGAGCAGCAAACACCTGGGAAATGCTCAAACTAATGTCATCCTCACTTTCCTTGAATCTACCTGTAACATGCGAAGGTTTACTCATTGATTTTAGGCTGTAGCTTCTAATAGTGTCTAAAAAGCTAAGTAGAGCATGAGCAGGTGTGTCCCTGAAAAGCTAAGTATGATCCTGGAATGATCTTATTTCCTGCAGTAGTATGGCACAGCATAGATGCTTAAGTACATGAGACTCATTTCATCACTGCTTGACTTTTGCTTCATTCATTGTTTCTTGCTACTTCTGGGTCGATGGACATCTGTGGCATGCTGAAAGTATGCGAGACTACCGTTTTATTTTACAAGTGATTACAGTTACATTGAAAACTAAAGACCAGTACCTGTACCTGAGTTGAGTTTCAACGATATTTCAAAGCCTATGGATCTATTACCTTACTCAGTGCTCATTCTGTTTCCATGTATCATCGAATGTAAGATGATGGTTTTGAGTTAACCGAATGATAGAGATATTTGGCTGTGTGCATGTAGATTGTGAGGTTTTTTGCTAACTTCTCATCTTATATACAGGTATGATTGTTACCTCTGCGCTAATAATATGGAAAGCGTTAATGTGCTTCACTGGCAGCGAATCTCCAGTGGTGGTTGTGCTTTCTGGAAGTATGGAACCAGGATTCAAAAGGGTGTGTAAATATTTTACTAATCTGACTGTGTATCTGTATGTTTCACTGATATGTTCCTATTTGCAGTTACCATTTGATAGCCTTCTGTAGAAATTATATTTTGTTACTTCAACTTGATATTACCCCTTGAACGCGATGATGCCCCAAAGGAAATGATTCTTTGTTATTATATTTTAAAGAAGAAATTCCTCGGCTCTCCTTTGAGTGCCGGCAATATTTACCCAACGAAACTCCAATGGGAAATGACCAGCTAGGCAACTGTTTTGGGGCGAGTCGAGTTTGTTGTTTATGTCTCCAGGTGAAACTTTGTAGGTCTGCAGTGATATATACTCATATCCATATTCTTGTGTTCGGAATCTGTAAGTAAAATCAGGGATGGGAAGAATGATTACTTACCATAATACAATCTGGTAACCAGTTTGGTTCTTGGTACAGCTAAGGATGAAGATAGGATAAGAACTACCTGTTTTTGGCACCGCTAGTATTAAAACTGACGGGTTTCTTCTTCCGAAATAGATCTTGTCTAGTACTTCCTTAGTCGTAAGTGTCAACTGCTTGAGAAGGTAGCTTTTGTTTAGAGAATGATTAAGGCAATATTACTAAATGGATGATTTCTATTGGAAGTAGGCAAACCTCAAAATGTTTCGGTATCTTGAGAAGGTTAATTGAACTAAAGCCTACTTCAGAAAGTATTTTTTTCAGGATGGAATTTCCCTGATCATTGTGCTTATACTTCTAGGTTATCTAATACTAGCATATCTAGTGTGGTTGGTATTCATACTTGTCATGACTTGTGTTAGTATGATTCTAGGTTATCTAATGCTAGCATATCTAGTGTGGTTGGTAGTCATACTTGTCATGACTTGTGCTAGCATATCTAGTGTGTTTAGTAGCACTTTGATGTCCAGTTTGTTAGTTTTTGTTATTGCACTTGCTGTAGCAGATACATAAAATAAATCAAGTGGTTTCAGTGACCAGTTGCAATTGAGATGAGAGAATCATGTTTGGAACTCTAATGTTTGTTTCTCAATAAAATTGAAAGTCTTAAATTCATCTTGCCACTAATTGCTCAGTATCACCTTTCACATGTTAGACCCCACTTACTGCTTTATGTATGACAGCATGTTACTGTGCTTATTGAAAATCCTTACACAATTTGAGTTTCTTTGCAGGGTGATATTTTGTTTCTGCACATGAGCAACGATCCTATCCGTACCGGCGAGATAGTTGTCTTTAATGTTGATGTAAGATCCTCTTAACTGATACTGCATCTAAAGGAATGTGCACTGCTACTTAACTTACAATTGGCAGTAATGCAAGAGGTGGGATGATGGCATGAGACTGAGAAATGTTCGTCTTGCTGAGATCTTCATAAGCTGATTAATGGAAAGGAATATAGTGAATATAACATCCGAGCATTTAGTTGGAAGAAAATTATATTTTGAGTTATTGGCTCATTGAATTCATTTACTTCAAGCATGTTTTTGTCTTAGTGAGTTACTCATTTTCGTAATCCCAGAGCCTAGTGGAATACTCAGATGGCAACATGCTTTTCTAAATCAGCCCTTTTACATTTCAGCTTGAGGACAATCTCAATCATCTTTTCTCCATAATCTGCACTTGAGCGTAATCAAATGAAGTTGCTTTGAGCTTGGTAGCTTCCACTATAGCTGTTGTTTATTAATATATCCACTAACTTGTGCTTTTGGATTATTGTGTAGGGCAGGGAAATTCCGATAGTCCACCGTGTGATTAAGGTATAAATTCATTTCACGATATCAGTAGGAATTCCATTTGTACTTACTCTGTAAAGCTGTTTTCAGTTCATACTAGGAGTGCTTGTAATAATACCTCAACTTAGTTTGATCAGTGGCAATTGGTATCTACTTGTTATTCAGGTTCATGAAAGACAAGAAACTGGGGACGTTGAAGTTTTGACCAAAGGTGCTGCTAGCTTCTGTAACCTAACATTTATATTTTTTGTTTACTGGGATTACTTCAGAGTATAGTACTTCATGCATTTCAAATGGTGTAATCTGTGGGTTTCAGTAACTAACTGTACATCTCCTGCTACTTATTTGTTGGTGTTGCAGGAGACAATAATTATGGGGATGATAGGCTTTTGTACGCTCAAGGTCAGCTATGGCTGCAGCGGCATCATATCATGGGCAGGGCTGTTGGGTAAGTGCTTGCTTGAGTAGAAAACCGAGAACCCAAAATTTATGAGAACAAAATTGATCTGTTCATGCCTATTTATAATTTGATTCCTGCCTGGTGACTTGGATATGATTACAAATGTTCAGCTCTTTGTATGGAATATTGTATCTGTTTCGGTTACCGGAGATCTGGCTGATGGATCATAAACTTAGAAACTGAGGCAAACTTGGAATGTGATGTTTGGTTGCAGATTCTTACCGTATGTTGGCTGGGTGACAATCATCATGACTGAGAAGCCTATTATCAAGGTTTGCCTGCTTATGTGAATGGACTCTCTCTCTCTCTCTCTCTCGTTACTGTTGATGAAAATCAGACTAATTGTCATTTCTTTGTTGTTGTTGGACAGTATATACTTATTGGTGCATTGGGGCTGCTGGTCATAACTTCTAAAGATTGAGGGGAAGGCATGAAGATGTAGGGAGTCATTAGCCTTCTGTTTTGATTCACAGTGAATTAATGAATTTGAGGACTAGAATGAAATGGAGAGAAATTACAACGGTTTAGCTTGCTTTTGCTGTAATAGGCTAGTGACCTGCTGTTGAGGACAGTAGCCTATAGGGTCTGGCTGGATATCCTCGAATCGAAAGGTGAAGCGAGTTAGTTGCAACGGTTTAGCAGTAGTACGACTTCCGAACTGGTGGTTTGGTGCCTGGAAAACTGACATGTTAGCTAATTAAGAAAATTTTACAGCTTTTGTTACAATGATGAGAATGATGTAGCCAATGGTGTTTCCTACCAAGTACAATCTAGTACTGTGAGTACCTCTTAGACATAAAGAATTTGGTGTCAGTCGAATACATCTAAGGAGTTTGATGATCAAATCGATATTTATCCCATATTTCAGGCCTAAAGGACGGGTAAATTAGATGTTTAGTCACTCAATTTGTAAAAAAGATTCATGATTGTCACTCACAAAATTTACTTCTCTTATTGGTCACTTACTTCACCCTCGATGGTGTCTTGCACTAACTACCCATTCCCAATTGAAAGTCATGTATAACCAACGACCGAGTGTTGTATAGGATAAGTAAAGTAATATAATTATTGAATTCACAGGTCTCTAGATGTACCGTTACTTCGTTTTGGTTTGTTATCTAGCCAAACAATAATAGTGATTAAGAAAGTAATCTAACTAAACTACTCTAGATTGGACTCCCTTTTTTAGTTATCCAACCCCTCTCAATTACTCTACCCGGAGAGGCATACCATAAAACTAACCTAGGCAATTGAGGTGTTCACAACCAACTCCTACGATTGGGCAAAACCCAATATGACACTATGAATCAAATCACACTCCCTCAAAGACCCATAATGAAGGATTGAAGGTGCTCTAATGAACCTAGTGGGAGATTCTCTCTCCTAGGTCAAAGCAAAATTGACATCTAGTGGGATCAAGACTCATGCAATTCATCATAAATATCAATCAAATAGATAATAAGAGTAGTCAACCATAGGATTTGTCACATACATCAACAATCAAACCAACATCTAGATCTAGGGTTCATCAACCTAAATGAAGATAACTAATTCATAGAGAGGAGAGATAATTTAGTATAAGGCTTAGAATCTTCATCTTCTAGGGGATGATCCTCAAGCTCCAATGGTGAATAGCATCTCCAATTGAGCTCCAAGAACCCTCCTAGATCACTCTCTCTAGAATCATCTCTTGGATATTTTTGGGTGAAAACCCAGCTATCCTCCTTCTCAATTGGCAGCTGCAGACTTTATAGTCTGCATAATTAGCTCGAACACGACCGTAAACACGACCGTGTCATCAGACCGTGTTCGCCTCTCAGTGTTGAGTTTCATTGGTCTGCTGGAGAAAAGTTGAAGGAGCCCTAACACAGCCTTGGAACATGGGTGTGTTCTTCAATCTTCATCAACCACACCGTTTCGAGACGGACTCACGGTTTCCGTGTTGATGTCACGATCTCGGAGACAATAACCTTTGCACAACCTGCAAGACGTCATTTGCCATATTCTCCAAAGCACCGGACACAGGCTCGAAACACGATCGTGCTGCCTAGCCGTGTTCCTAGAAGAAATTGTCAGACACGTACCCTGGAGAACCCGACCATGTCATGGGTCGTGATACTTAACACGGGGAAGAAAAAGACCATTTTCTTAACAAAACATGCTAGTTATTTAATAAAATTACAACAAATGCTAATTATTTAATAAAATAGGAATAAAAAAGCAAACCGATATCGGGGTGCCTTCCAATTAGCGTGTCTTTTACATCTTATCGTCGGATGGCTGACTCAAGTATTCAGTCCATCTCAAAACCTTTTTGAAGTTGAGATTTTCATCGGCGAAATGAAGTCTCAAGTCTTGATCGGTCTCCTTATGGTTTGGTGAAGGTTCACGTATATAAGAGTTCTTGAGAAACCGCAAAGAATCACACTTCATCTTGTTTCTTCTTCTCTTCGCCTCGAACCAAGTCAAGCATTCTCGAAGCATCATCATCGGATCCACCAAGAAGGGTTGATGATACCGTGGCCTTGTTTCTCCATATTTAGGTTGAAACTTCAAACTTTGCTATTATTGATCTATGTTTTGTTTATTAGTAGTGCTTTCCAGATCCTGCTTAGCGGAATTTTCCCCCTGTATTTGATACCTAAAAAATGTTTGCAAGATGTTTTTCTACCTTCATGTCATCTGAATTTATAAATTGACATTAAGAATGAACCAGAAAAAAAAAAAAAAAAACAAGATAAAGAAAAGGCTAGGTAAAAGAGACATAACATTATATTTTAGTATTTAGAAACTTTCCATTTTTCTCTCTTGTATGTATGATATTCATATTAGATTTTTAGTATTAATTGCTTTTTCATGGTTTAGGGGGAAAATTAGGAAGTTGTAGTTCAAGAAAATTCTCTTTTTTTTTTGTGAGTTTAATACATCTGTAACTTTTTTTTCTTCTATCTTTCTTAATATGAATAATTTATTTTCTTCTGCTTTCACCTACTTAAAAATCGATAAATAGGTATCTACAACATATTTGAACTGATTTCTCAAAAATGTCTTTATCAAGCCAGTCCACGAGTCCTCCTTATTTTTTACATTTTGAGATCCCCACCTCTACATTTATATGAAAGCTCGAGTCTCATGTAATTTGTTGCATATCCCTATTTGTGTTATCATATATTTCCTTAATTCTCTCTAACTGATTACATGATCAACCATATACCTATTTCCACTATAAATTATGATACAAACAACAATAAAAGCATTGTAAGAAACTCACGAAACTATATAGTATCAATGCCTCAGGCCCTTGCAATGCCCCTAGCTTTGTCTTCCATATGCCACTTACACTGTTATAATTGCAACAATTTTGATCACCTAGCCAAACAATCTCCAACCCCCACTTCTTTTTCTCGCTTCCCATCACACCTCATCTCCCGCTTTCAAGAATGGTTGATGGGTTCAGATACCAATTATCACCTCACTTTTGACATTAACAATCTTGCTCTTCCTTTTCGATACCATGATCCGAATGAAGTTTCTTTCAACAACGGTAACACTCTTATTATTGCTCACCATTGTTCTTTTAATCTCTATGTGATCATCACTTACACTTAACTCAAGGAATCCATGTTACCTCAACTACTCAAAATCTTATCTCGGTTAACACCCTTACTTGTACTAATCCTTTGTATGTTTATTTTGCTGATAATTCTTTCACCACTAAGGAGACAAGTCGATACTTCGTTCCTCTAACCATCCTCTACATGGTTGCTTCATGGGCTTCACACCATACTCTCTTACTCCATCAAAGGTCTGTTTAAAATAAATGCGACACTCGTATTTGTCATGGTTGTAGTGTTGCAAAAATTCATAACATTTTCCGTTTGGCTACAAAATTGAATGCAATGTCGAGAACATTAGAATAGTAACGGGTGACAAAAATCCATGTGAGTTTACTAAAATTGTCATAAAAGAGAACATAATAAAGATTAGCATCTGGAGCGAATCCCAAACATCACTGCAAACTAAATCCAGGGGCCTTGAGCACGAATAGTAGACAAAAGAAAAGGGAGATTATGAATTTTTGTAATACTACAACCATGAAAATACAAGTGTCGCATTTATTTGAAGTAGAAAGAGAATGAGAGAAGATTTTCATGAAGCACACGACAATGAGTGTGTCCAAGCCTTTGGTCCCAGTGCGAGAGAGTGGTGTGAAGAGCACGAGGAGTAGTGCAAGAGAGGATGGGCAAGTAATGGAGTAGAGATCATCTTCACTTCGACATGGTGTAGAATATTTTGGGACCGAGTGTCCTTAATGATGAAACAATCATCAACAAAATGAATAGATAAGAGATTATAATGATTAAAGGCATTAATCAAAAGAAAATTTTGAGTGGCCGAAGAAAAATGGAGAATTTGAGATAAATATAAGGTACGATCATAGATAGAGACAAAGGAAGAACTAGACTTATCAATGAGGAGAAAGTTACCATATTTCCAAAAGAAAATTCATCCAGAGCATAGTGTTTGTAATTGAGAGCATAATTGTTGAGATAAGAAGTGAGTTGATAATTGGTACCCGAGCCTATCTACAATTTTTTAGGGGTAAGAGATGAGGCGTGAGGGTAGAGGGTGGGAAGCAAGAAGAAGAGACGGGGTTGGACATTTTGGCTAGGTGACCAAAACCATGACACTTAAAATACTGTAAGTGGCATGTGGATGGGAAAGCTAGGGGCCTTGCCTTGGGCGGAGGCTAAGTTTCACGAGAATTCTATAGTGCTTTTATTATTATTTTATATCTACTAGTATTTAAAAAAGATTAATCATAACTACCGTAAGACGCTTATCCAGGCCCAAAGATATTTTTTCGAACGAATTTCATCTTCTCGCTTAACCCAACGAGTCTCTTCTAGCTGACCTTAGGGGTCCCGCTCATCATATGTGCCACCTCATGTCGAATTTTAGCTGGATATCAACTGGATTGGAATGTATCAAGATACATTATAAGGGGTTATGGTTACTAACTTTCATAGATAGGTTGTTGACGGAAGGGCTGATTTTCTACTTTGCTCATCAATAACTGTGGCAGAGGCCAAAATTATCTTGGTTCCTTTGAACTAGGACAATTGGATTTCTCATAACTAATAATTCTCTTGCGAGTGTGTAGCTTGGTTGCATTCCATGAATGATGCCCTTCATCTCTCAAACTTGATAGAGGTCTCCTACGTACATTGGCTCTTCAAAGTCCAAGCAAATTGGGTTGCTAAGACAAAGATTGGATTACAATCCACATGAATTGGATTCAAATTCTGGATCTCATCTCACCGCTTCTTTGTTAGCTTTTTGATACCACTATAACTAACGTTTGGAGTCCACACGTCCAAAAATAAAACGTGGCAGCCATGTAGATTTCAGGTGATTGAC